TTCCTAGAACTTGTAGCATTCATAAAATGTTCATTGCCTTAATTCCATCTCAGAATGTTTGTGTCCTACATATATAGTCCTGTGATTTGTGGAAGATGGCAGGTCATTACAGGTTCACCCTGTTGTTGTTCCCAAGCAAGAGAAAACAAATTTGCCTGTGGTAAATGAAACTGGCCAGAATCATCACAGTGAATTGCAGAGGGCTGCCACTCTAAAAGACTGGTCTAAATGTTTTCTCAGCCCGAGAAAGGCAATGGCTAAGTACTTGTGCAGCTCCTTGGGGCTGTGGACAGGACAGGGCTATGATTAGATCCAGCAGAGTGACTGTGACACTGGGTCTACCCCACATATTTTTATTTTTTCCCCCGAAAGGCAGGATTGTAATGTGTCCTTGCAAGGTAATGCCTCATCCTGCCCATCCCGCGTGATCACAATGCTCTTGGAGTCGTGTGAAGGACTGACACAGCTATATGGCACTCCAGGAAGACCCATAAGACAAATAATGATTCAGAACAAAACTGCCCTAAGGGCAAGGAAGAACCTGGTCTTTTTTTCTTTTTTTTCCCCCAGCATATGCCTTATTGCTGAAAGCCTTTAAACTGCTTCATCTCTACTGGCAAACATACCTGAGCGGCTCCCTTCTGAATTCCCCAGGATGGCTGCCACCATGGGGCAGCAGACGGGGAAAGGGCCTCGGGGAGGTACTGCTATCTCCCTGCCTCCCAGTAAAGTGGTGCCTGCGCATTCTCTTTGCATTTCCTTCCTTATCAGAGTTCTCCCCGCCCAAATCACCGAGGGCCTCACCCTCAACACACACTCCATCAGGCTGCTGAAGACTGGTGCTTGCTGCAGCCACCACATTCCAAAGGGATGGAGCTGCTGCCGGTACCACGGGGCCATCAGAGCCAGCTTGCACTGGGCAGGCAGTGTGGAGAGGTAACTGTGACACTTAGGGCAGGTGTCCAACTTCAGTGTCACAGGGCAATATTTAGTACTTCTTTTTACGGCTGCTGCACTCTATCACTGCTCACAGGGAGAACTCCTGACCCTGTTTGTTCCCCCCCCCTTTCTCTCTTTCTGTCTCTGAGGAAATGCTACCAAGTAGGTCATGCCTTTTTGAATTCTAATGCAAAAAAAATAGATTTCAACTGTCATTTAATCAGAGCTAAGAAACAAGAGAGTGTAGTATCAGCTTCAGACCCTGCAGGAGAAAACAGATGAAGGCATGAGCATACTGTGATCATTGGATTATACTGGGGGGGTTTATTATTGTTATTTGGGGATTTTTAACTGCTGATTATGATTCTTCTTGTCCTTTTTGGTATGTGTTCTGTTGGGCACAGAAATCTTATCTTTGGTTATCTCTGAGGCTGGTTATATTTAGACTTCAGAGCTGGTATGCTCACAATGTGGCCCAGTCTCAAAGCCACCACCTATCTACATTGGAGCTGGGACAGGCTACCCACTCAACAGTCTCTGTAAACATCAGCCTTTGCACACAGGGCATTGGTGCCCGCACTGCCCTAGCAGGCAGTCAGGATATGGTCAGGATGCACATCAGGACCAAGGACATGGGATGCATCTCTGGGTCCCAGGAGTTGGCCAGAGTTTACCTTCAAGAAGGCGATCTGGTATTATGTTCACATCTGCTGTCAGTTGTACGACAGTTCCTTCAGAGCCTGCCCTTCAGTGAACTTGATTGCACAGACTATCTGCTAAAAACTACTTAAACTCAACTGTAGTTAAACAAAAGCTAAATGAAAGTTAATGACCATATAAGCAGCTGGTTCTGGACAAGTATCTTGTGACAGATACTTGAGAAATGCCCTTTAGTCACTGGAAAGTATTTCCCAAGGTCTCTTTGGGATATTCTGTGTCTGTGTCAGCAGATGAAAATACTGTCTATATTTCTGTAGCCACAGGTGATTAGGAATTGCTCCCACAGTGTAATTTAAACCTATTAGGCTTCTCCCTAGATGGGGTCAAGTGAGCACAGAGAGACCCTTGCATGTTTGATTTTATATGACTGAACAAGATCTGCTTCATTTGTGCTTTATCAGGGCTATAAAACTTGGGTCCATATAGAAAGTATAAGTTACACTCACACTGCTAGTCTGGGTTCAGCTTATTTCCTGAATTGCAAAAGGCAGCAGTTGCTGTGTTACACTGAGCTCTGGGTAGGCACAGACTTTTTGGACACAAATAATGGAAGCCTCCAAATGATGCAAATGGCCTAAAGTTCAGCAGTGATAAAAGGTTCATTTAAATTTTCTCACAACCCTGCCATATCTTTTTACCATAATTAATACCAAATGAAAGTTTCTGTTCAGGGATCAGCTACTGTTTAGCTTACCTTGCAGCAGAGCATACTAAGGCCTCATTCATTCGCATTATAACTTAGGTGGTACGGGCCAGTTGGGAAATGCTGACAGATTTGCATCCTGTTCTGCTCCGTTTAGGAGCCGATGTTCACTGACTTGCAATAACAGTGTGTTTGCACAGTGCCTTTAAGTCCAAAATATTTGAGTTTTACATGACTTAAGGGTGGTCATTTCTATCAGCCTTGAAGTGCAGTGACTTCAGGGTTGGCATGTGGCAGCCAGTAACCAGCACACACTATATAATAGTGTATTGTGTGAATATCTTATCCATATGAAATTGCAAACAGAATTTGAGGAGGCAGGTATTTGATTCAGAGACCAGGCTAACCTCCCTAAGCCTTACCCTAGCTACAAGACATTCAATACCCATAAATAAACAAGCCCCGAGTTGACCCCTCTTTTGTAGCACCATCTTTCCTCCACCATTGTGCCAGAGTAGGGCTTTGCTGCTACAGACCCTCCGAGGCTCCTGCTGAGCCCCCCAGCAACCACCTCCGAGCATCTGACCCTCCGAGGTGCCGCTGAGCCTCTTTGTCCCGAATTGAGCGTGTCCCAACACAATGGGGATACAGCTGTCTGCCTGCCAGAGTTAATGAGCATAGAGGGTAGGCCTTCAATTACCTTCTTTATCAGACATATTTCTCAAAAAGCTTTACAGAAAAAGGAGGTATTCTGCTCCTAATTTTATACAGAAGGAGGCTGGAGGCTAAAATGCAAGGAAATTAAGTAATTTGTGGAAGATAACAAAGCAGGTAATCGGCAGAGCTCAGAATCAAGCTTAGCTCCCCAGCCCCGCACCCCTCTACCACTTTTTGCATCTAAAAAGGCACAACTTAAAATCCAACACTTTTTAACTTTCATAGTAAAGAAGCAGTTCTGCTGCAGTTTTCTGTTTGACTTCTTTTGGCTTTGCATCAAGCCAATCTGGCTGTGTTCTTATTTTATACTTACTACCACCCTAAGGAGGATCTTTTATGAGTGGGCGCCATAGAAATTAAGTTTTAAGCTACAGTTTAGTGGGATCAAGTTTTTGGACACAAAATTCCCAGAAAATCTAAAATACTGAAACCTAGGTCTTATAAAAAAAGAAGGAGGAAGGAAATCTAATGGTCACTTCTCTCCTATCGCTGTATGGTCCCAGTCCAATAGGAACTGCTGGCTCCAACCAGGCTGCCAGAGGTCTGGAGTGCTGGGACAAAAGGCCAAAAAACATCTCTTTTCCATACAGACAACATTTTAGGTGGAAAAAGAAGGACATATCCAAGGACACCCAGATAAATAGTAGCCCTAGCAATGCCAACTTTTCTGCTCCCAAAGTTGTTTACACCCACAGAATTTACTGTGGTGCCAAACCGCAAGGAGAGTTGTGACTCCCTTAAATGTGTGGTCTTTATCTGAAAGGCCAAATGAAGTAATTTTGAATTGTTAGGCACATTAACAATACCTGAGGGTGTCATATACAAACAGCCAACACCTTTAAGCACTGCTGCAATAAGGATGGACAAGAACATTAGGTGGGGGTGGTGGGAGGAAAGGTCTTTTTTAGATGTATCCGAGGTAGAGCAAGTTTTATTACTGGGCTAGAAACATATAGTATCCCAGGAGTGAATAGCTCACACATTTGATCCAATCTTGGGCTCAGTCCAGCTCCCACTGAAGTTTAATGGGAGTTGGATCAGGCCACTGCACTCACATTTTTTCCATGCATGGAAAACTATTTCCGTTACTTTGAATTACAATACCACTGGCTTTGGATTTTATATAATAAAATAAATCTAGGCCACTGTTTATATTCCAAAAAAATGCATTCTGGGATGCCAGCAAATATATTGCCTGTTGGATTAAAAAAAATAAAATAAAAACTGGACACATTGGTTTAAAAAAATAACAGCTCCTAATTATTAAGCATAATTTTTCTTCCTTGTGCTTTTCTGGAGTCCTCAAATATTTGAAGTACGAAAGGTACATATAAATTCTTCTCTGGTGGTTGAAATGGTGGAATCTGTAAAACTGCAATGTTTTATAAGAAACAGAAGTTTAATATAAAAATAATAATCTTCACAACTGGCTCTTTGCTTATTGGCATATTTTGCGCATTTTAAAATTTATAGGGAAAAAAAACAACACCCTTGGAATGTCAGTAACAAAGGGGATGTATATTAGCAACCCCTTAAATTTTGGGAACTGGCTCCTCTTGATTGTTCTGACTGCAAATGAACTCTGCAGATGCTGAGAGGCACAGGAAATGTGCTAGAAACAGCATTTGTTCCCTGCTTTATGAATTGGATTCTACTGAAATCCCAATGTGGTAAGACTGATTAGCAGACTTTGGTAATGCCTTCTGCCCCAGTACAATTTTATTATAGTCTTTTATTACCAAGGGAAAAAAACACAGAAAAAAAAACACAGAAAAAACACCCACATTCTGGGAGCAAACATTATCTGTGGTGAGCTTATGCCAGCGAAGAGCATGGCCCCTGGACTCTGAAATACAGAGCAGCAAAATAAAAGGCACGTCACCAAAAGAATAAAACAAAAACACACATATACACAAGCAAGAGAGGGAAAGAAATGTCACTGAGGGGTGCTTAATGTTAAAGAGAAACTATACGACTGGCATGGTGGTGAGGAGGATTTAATAGAGGTGAACAAGGTGACCACCTGCATCCACTTCAAAGAGGAAAAACCGGCAGTGGTACGAGGAGTGCTTATGCAGTCATGTGCACGTGTTTGTGCACAATGCTTCTTTCTACTGACAAAATATACTTTGCAAATATCCCCGGGCAGCGGCAGCTTTTCTTCTGTATTGACAAATTCAGTTTCAGCACAAGATTGAAAGGAAAAGAAAAAAAATTTCCCTCACACACAGAGCCATGTAGACTGAGCTGGACAGATTTCCCTTGGCCCAGGTGGTACAGAAGAGGTGCTGTCTCCATGGGGACTCCCAGGCTGTGCGCTGGTTAGCCACAGGCTGCACCTTCCTTCTTCACAACAGATGGTGGTAAACCTTCCTCCACCCCGTTGTGGTCTGGGGAGCATCCAGGAATGGTTTACAGGACTGCGGATTTTAAGCCATACTGGGGTAAGGGAGCCTTGGCTAACCTTCCTTCTAGTGTGACAAAGCCCTTTAGACAGACCAAGAATTGGTTACAAATTCCCCAGTGCAGGGTTTGAAACTCAAATAACTAGGACTCACCCACGTTTGGCTGTAATTTCCGATGTGCAGTAACTATGCAAAATGCTGAGATTTACTGATGAGAGAGCAGGAAGAACCCACTCTTCTTCTTCTTCCTGGCTTTCTTTCTGTAACGAAATAGTGTGTGCTTGTGTGCTTTGCCAGCACCTCCTCAGCCTCTTCACCCTGATTGAAACAGTCCTAGGGGAGATGCACCCAAAGACAAACTCCCCAGCAGAACTGGCGGAATGTCAAACCAGCTGGCCTGATGGGGGAGATTTCAAAACCAAAATGTCTCTTAAATAAGCTTCTTTAATTATTATCATCATCTGTTTATTTATACAAATATAAAATATATTTATATAGATTTATATAATATAGATTTGTTGCTTTGGTGGCTCCTTTCATTTACAGACATACTGGTCAACGATCTCTGTGCACTTTTTACACTTGACATAACAGCACCAATGGAACTTGCAGTGGCAACGCTCCACCTGGACGCTCTTGAACTGGTCATAGCCCCGTCCGCAGCACATCAGCTCACACCCATCCATGCCCTCTGAGGTCTTGTTGCACAGCCGGCCCTGGGTGCCCAGAGAGCCGGTGGTCTCGTTGCGCAGGCAATAGTCCGGGCTGGGGTCAACGTAGACCAGGTCCTCTTGTGTCGGCACGTTGAACCGGTTGTTCACCAGCTCCAGCTTCCCCTTGCGGCTGATCCTCATGGCAGCGGCGCTGTCGTACTTCTCCTTCAGCAGGTCGCCCACCTTGCGGAAGTCAGCCAGCTGCAGCCAGCAGGTCTTGAGGCTGCAGGAGCCCGACACACCGTGGCACTTGCAGGCCACGTCTGCCAGCTTGTACACGGCCTGTGGGAAAAGAAATGCAATCAGGCAGAGCTGCGTTTAGTTTATTCCTGCTGCACTGGCAGCTGGCTTAAGTACAATGAATTCATCGCGCTTTCAGAACTGCTTTGATTACCCCGCAATTTCTGTTGTTTTGCCCTTCAGAAGAGACAAAGGTCTTCTCATCTCCCTGTTGCGGCTGCTGTGTTCCTGTTCCCTAAACATTTATATTTCTGGTCACATTGCCTGCAAACACGGCTTCCTCGCCCCACCTGCTTTCCCTCTGGCAGACTGCTGGCTTGACAGCAGGGTCATGAGAAGGAAAAAAAAAAAAAAAGGAAGAGTGCTCTTAGGGTGGACTCTGGAAATTCCCCATCTCACACCACAGCAGTGTGGCATGTTTTTCCCTTCAGTGCTGCGGAAAGGGAACACCTGGGAACCAGCCCATTTCCTACCATACACCCCAGGAACCAAGGCTATCACTTGTAGGGATGCATCTGCATCCTTTGGAAACAAATCCACAGACCCACACCCTTTCCCTTCATGCCTGCTGAGAGGAGCTCGTCCAGGAGCAGCGTCCAGAGAGGAGCAGGCAGGGGTGGTGGTGCCAAAGATGGGCACGTCCACCCTGGAATGGAGCAGTTTAGCTCTGCTGGAGGTGTTAACCAGGCGCCCTCCTGGAGCAGCAGGGCTGAGCTGGGAGCCCTGGCTGCGGACCTGCGCCATCTTGTGCCCACACGTCTCCCTCCACCAGCAGGGCTGTCGCCAGGCAGAAAAGCCTAGATTTTAACAGCAAACGCAAGCTTTCCGTGCTGTCTTTTCCCAGACGCTTTCAGCTACCCTTTCAGGAGCCTGCAGGGGCTGTAGATGCATCATACCCCTGAAAACCCGGCATCAAAGTTAGCAAAGAGTCTTGAAAATTCGGGGCAGTGAGCATTAAACCCTCAGCAGAGCAAGTACAACATGTAAAGAGAGACAGACGGTGGTTACTCTCCTCCTCCTCACGCTAGCTGGGAGGAGAGTGAAATACTGAAAAATATTCTACAGTAACAAAGCTGGAAACCATGGAAAATAAACTGAAATGCAAGTTGTGTTTGTTCTTTAGATCAATTCCAGAGACAGGTACAAAACTGCATGCTAGGTGAGATCCTGTCAGCTCTCAGGCACTGACAGAGCTTGCAAAGCAAAGAGCCGGCATCCCCACACCATCAGAGCTGCTCCATTTTATAGGGGCTGACCCCCCCAGCCCTTGCTCCTCATCCTCTCACCAGCAGGGTCACATCTGCTCTCCCAAGACCATCCAGCATCCTGCAGTGCCTTTGCCAGATCCCACACGCCAAGCAAAGGTGTTTGGCATCAGCTGCAAAATTGCCACCAGCTGTATTTGGTGGGGGAGATCAAGGAACGTGGGAAAAAAATAGGGTACTCAGAAGGAGATGGACACATGTCTCCTAGCCAGGTTTTCTACTGAAAAAAAAGCAGCCAAACACAGAGGTTTCTTTACCGCCTCACTCACTGACAGAAGAAAGCTTCACAGCTCTCTGCTTTCACATGCCAAGGACTAGGTGGTTAAGGCAATTGAGCATAGTGCAAGCAAAACCATCTGCCTGCGACTACGTTCTGGACCAGCAGCAAGAGGTCAGAGTTCTCCCTACAACAACTGGTTGCTCCTGGCCTAACTAAGGTCTAGTGCTTTTGACAGCTAGTGAAGATTCAATTTGGCTTAATGGCTAAATCACATGGAGGCCAATCCAGCTCCTGAGAAAGTCAATGGAGTGAGTCCCTAAAACAGAAAACCTTTAGTTGCCCTCCTCAGAGCTCAATTTACTGAGGCAATCCCTCATGGCACAACCTTACAGCGCAATGTAACAGCTGTAACAAGCTGGGAGTTAAGCACTTCTCTGGGATCAAACTACAACTGCAGAGGACCAACCACACCGTCACTTAAGGATTCCTGTTGTACTGTAACCAGACAGAGCTACAGCTGAATTTCCCGCGCACCAGACACTTACTATATCCTCACTGCATTGCCAGCCTGCTTGTTATAAGCTTGTGTTAGCACTTTTTGGTTATGGTTCTGTCAAATCCCAGGCCACTTGTGCCCCCCTTGCCCTTGCAAGTGTTTTTATAAAGTATTATGATTCTTCCTAATCCTAGGCTTTGTTCCTTTAGAAAAACACTGCAACTCAATCCCTCTCAGTTAATGTCATGGGACTGAGTTCACTCCGTCTTGGCTTTAAGCAATTGATGCTCAAAACATCTGGCCCATGTGGGTAGTAGCTGTGCTGGGGAACAGAATGCTACCAGTTATCACAGGTAAGGATGGTGCCACTCAGCCCCCACAGCTCCCACCACCAATGTCCCGTGGAGGTAACCATAGCTTCAGCTGCTAAATGACTCTACACTCTCCCCCTTTGCTGTTCGGATGGGGAGAAAGCAGAGGAAATTGGAGAATTCCTCTCTGACCAGGCTCAGGTCAAGGTAAAGAATAACAGACCTCACATGCAGTTCTGAGGGCAGGAACTGATCGATGGCCATGCCACTTAAACAGGTTGAAAATGCCTCTAATGGAAAGGCTTAGAGCCCCTTCCCATAAGCCCAAGTTCTCTTCCAATTCTTTTCTTGCAAGAATGGGAACAGGAAGAGGATTAATGGGTAATTCCTCTGTGGTCAATTAGCCAGACCCCCTTCCAGGCTCTTATGGCACTGGCTCGAGTGACTGATGACTGAGGCCTGCCATATGCTGACTGGGTAAACAGCATGGAAGGACTGACCATCCCAGTCTGCCAGACACAGTGACAGATAAGGAATGGGGGAAATAAGAGAGGGTAATGGAGACCAATTGGAAGAAAAAGACAGATGGAAGGAAAGGACATATTGAGATAACAGCCAAAGACAAACAAACAAGAGCAATAAAGCCAGAAGCCACCACAAGGACTCCAATGTGGACTGAAGGGGTGATGGGGTCAGGACTGCCTGAAAGATAAAAGGCCTCTGATCCCCTCCCATCCTCCCCAGCTCTTCTTGAGAACCATGAAGAGAAGGGACAATCTTCTCTCCTGCCACCAGAGCTCCTCAGGGTTCAAGGAGAACTTTCTCACTCACAGGAAACTGAGTGAAGGGACATGCCAAAAATCTGCCTATAAATCAGAAGGTATCAGCTGAAATACTGGCTGGGAAAACAGGGCAAGGCTGTAGTGGGATGGCACCTTGGTGGTCACTCCGCAGTGTTCACTGCTGGGTCTCCAGTACTCCTTTCCTTCAGCATCAACTTTTAGGAGTATGGACTTACATACGCACCTTCCTACTTCCAAAATCAGAATCTGAGAAGTTTAGGAATGCAGGACTAGACAGGACCTCCTTGGTTATTAAGTATGATCTCTTGCTATTGTAGGCACTGCTTCAAATAATATTTTCCCTAAATGCATACAGTGCCCTTTTAAAAGCAATTAGGTTTTCAGCCACCATTATTCTGATCACTATTGCAATGATAAAATATCTTTTTCTGATTTCCAGTCTAAATGTATTCACTTTATGCTCATTTGCTATTGTGCCAAATTGGCCTTTTGCTTAAAGAGTACTTTTCCTCCCATATTATTTCTCCCATGAACACAGACATCAGTCACATCCTCTCTTAACTTTCACTTTAGTAGGCTAAATATGGCAAGCTGGTCTAGCCCACTTTCTTAAGAAAAGATTCCTATCCCTTGGGTCAGCCATAACAAGCCTTTTCTAGTCTGAGGTCATTTTACTTGGGAATATGAGAACATACAATATTGTGGGGCCTCACAAGAGCTTAATACAATGGCATTAGTATTCCCTCATGTTTTATAAATAGGCTTTCCCTAGTATGTTATAGGATATTTACCACCTTCTGAGCCACATTACATCTGCAGCTGACTGCAGACCCATTTCCTAATGACTAAAACCAAATTTCCTACAAGGCCTCAAATGATGGTCTTAATGTTGTTTTATTGGATGTCATTAGCTGCTACAAAATTCAGATTCTCCTCTGCCACCTTTGCATCATCATCAAATTTCATCAGCCTAATGCTTGTGTTGAGGCTGAGAAACAAAAATATTCAGGCAAGTCCTTGATGAGCTCTGCTAAACAAGCTCCGATAAGATCAAGATACATCCTCTCACAATTTACTGATATCTTTCCTTGAACCAGTTTCTTGTCCATCTCATAGCTGCTGCATTTTTCCTTATATTTCCCAATTTAACAAAGAATTTTCCATGTGGGAAATACCTTAAATGTTTCAGATAAATGAGACCTATCCGACCTAGTCTGCTTTTTAGGAGATCGGTCATATTCTAAATGACTGTGTGATCAATCTTAGCAAAAAATGTTCTCAAATTATTTCCCATTTTGCCTGTTTCTCTGAGATATCCTTTCTCCCAGGTCCACTTGTAAATGAAGCCAAGATCACAGGTGCCATCTCTTTCAGAGTGCCAAGAAAGAAAGTGAGCACTCTCTGAGACTTGAGAGGTTTATGCTACCTGAGTTTTGCATCTGCCTTAGTGGCAAAAATTTCCATCTCCAGCCTTTCTCCTTTGCTCCCGTGCTAATATGCTTTTAAGAGCCAAGAGGAAAGGCTGTCCTGTACTGGCCAAATACCAGCCTGACCAGAAAACCCTGGAACACGCAGCGATGCAATCTCAGAGCCTCCTATGAAAGGATCTGGAGATGAGACCTGAGATGGCTCTGAGATCTCCATCCTTTCATATTCATCTCCTTTCCCAATCCCAGTATCTCCATTCCTCACTACCCCCAAATACTCATCCACTCAAATCCACCCCAAAGCCCCAGCCACAATTTCTCCAGAGCCCTTCCCTCTTCCAATCCTTTGCAGCCACTTGACTCTCATCTGAATCATCTGGCCCAATCCTAAACTCTGCTTCCTTAGCAGCCCCCTGCACCATCCCACCCATGTCAAGTCCAATGGCTCAAACCTCAGTACTTGCTGCTCAACTCCTCTTCCTCTACCTGTCTGAACTTTATAGCTGCCTCCTCGTGCCTTCCTCACTCCCACAGGGTGCCAGCACCATCAGCCTACTCTGGTAGACCTTGCCTGCCCCTGCCTGGCTTCCCCCCAAAAATACAGTCCCAGAGGTATTTAAAAATCTACACTTCAAGTACTTATTCCTGCTAAGGAGAAGTCTTGAGGACAGAAAGAGACATCTCCACTGTGCAGCAGACACGCAGCATCCCTCTCCATGAGCAATGTCCCACACTCCAACTTGGAAGCCCCAGGTAAAGCGCTCACTTACTTTTGGGACCAAAACTTCTCTGCCTTTAGACTCAGCCCCATCCTCATTGACTATGTCTCCTTTCTTCCAATCTCCCCCAGTCTGCAAAGTTTAAAAAAATTTTGCTGTTTATTTTACTAACCTTTGCAAGGTCTGACTCAGCGGGATTTTTACTGTTCTCACTTCATCTTTACACTTCTTGACCTCTAAGACAGAGCTTTTCATTATTTATTTGCTATCAGTTGTTTTTTTCTTCCCCCATTCTTAGTAGGCTCTTGGTCTATTCCTAACAGCTTCTCAGTGGCAGTTATTCATTCAGTGAGGTCTGGATATTCTTCCTATAAGCTTTTTCCTCTTGCTTGGCATGCAGAACTGTAATGGCTTTAGCATCTTTGACTTGAAAAAGTTCCAGACCTCTTCCACATTGAGTTCCTCGGCTCAGCTTATTAACCGGCTCCCTTAGTTTATCAGAGTTTTTTTTGAAATCCACAAGCTTAATTACACACTGGTTCATACTACCATTTCATTTAATCTAAAATTACTTGTGTTCATTTAATCTAAGGTTATTTTCTACAGCCATCTGTTCTACAGAGTCTACAAAACTCAAACCTGAAATAACACCGTCTTTTGCTGGCCCCTTTGGAAAGCTTTTGTCCAGGTCCTGGGTTAACTGGAGACACAGAAATGGCCTTGAGAGCTTGTCTACAGAGTCCAAAGAAGCGAGGTACTGTAGCACAATTTAAACAACTTTCTGCACTGTAGTAAAGGCAGGAAATAACTGCCTTTAACTCTGTCCCTAAAGCAGGACAAAGCTTTTTTTCCTCTGTAGCATCACCTGAAATCACAGCTCAGCAAGAATCTTGCCTATATAACAAGAATAACATGACAAGGCAGTATTTTCCCCGTGGCATGGAGCAAGCATCTTCTGACTTGATCTTCTAATACAAATGTTACTGCAGTTCAATTGGCACCTCAGACTATTGGCCATATTCTGTCCCTGGATCCCTCAAGGCAATAGGGCTGGCTGTTAAAGTCCCATAACATACTCACTCCCTATTTTAGGCAGAGTATTTTTTTGTAGTAATCCAAGTTCACGACTCCAGACATCTAAGATGTGCAAAGCAAGTAATGCAGAAAAGAATGTCATGTTCAGGCTACTACTCCACTACACCCTCCATTTCTAAGACCCTCTGCCCTTCCAAGCCAAAAAAAAAAATAATCCCAAAGCAAAACCTACTGAGTTCTACAGCTTTCAAGTCTGTTTTTTTACCTACTGCAAATTTACCACAATTTGATTTTTCAAAAGAACCGTGGAATACTCACAATGCTTCAACCTGACACACTGATTTCACAATCAAAAAAACAGAGCACATCATCTTTGGTGGCAAAATGAAGTTGAAATTACATGCAGAAAAGACAAACATCCATGCGAAAGGGAAAGATAATTCAGTAATAATTAGAAGCAAGAAAGGGCAGAAAATTGATAAGGAAACTAAGGCTATTAGTTAAGAATGTGCAAAAGAGCAAGACTAAGTACGCTTAATAGGATTTTTTTAACGTGCATTAGAAATAAAATTAACCTTAGAAAAGCTTACTTCTACAGAAGAATGATAAAATCGTAAAACACCCTGGGGAAAATGCACAAACGTTGAAGTATTCCTGTTCTACTTTTGGAAAGAGGAGGGATTACATGGCTGTACCACATATGAAGGATGCTACACCTTCTGGGCTATTAATCACAGACAAAGCAATTGTGATAAAAAAGCAAAAGTGCATACACTGAATGCATACAAAAAGGGTATGGGAAAACTGGAAAGGGTACACTAAATTGACAGGGAAATGATTTGATGGCTGATGAGAACCTCTGAAAGTGAGAGAGTTTTCAGTGCTCTATCTAGTTTGTCAAGAAAGAATGGTGAATAAATTACAGTAGATAAATACTTGCATGCAGAGGAAATTCTGATTACTAAGAGGCTTTTGGATTTAGCTGTAAAAGTCAGAAAAAGAACTGATTAGAAGCTGGTGCCAGATAAATTCAAATGATAATGAGGTACAGCATTGAAACAGGGTGATTAATGATGGTACCATACTACAAAGTGAAGTGATGGATTCTCCATCCCTAGGGGTCTCCAGATCACAACTGTGAATCTTCTCAGGAAAAATTTGTCACCTAGATGCAAATTATTTATTTTGCCCAATAGCAAGGCAACTGAGCGAGGCTTAAGTTCCAGAAATAGCCAGGTAGCCTGATTCGATATTTGCTTCTGGCCTTATGTTCCCAAAAATCTAAATGATGGTAGGAGAAGAGAACTCCAGATGCCAAAATATTATTCTTTTCATCAGCCTGTCACTTCCAGAGCTCTGGGAAGCTCATTTCTGAGACATTAACTTTAAAAATGGGCCATAACAGCACCTAGTTTATTTGGAAAGGGCTTACATGTCTGCACGTGTGCCATACAGTGTCTCAACAGACCCCAAAATTCACTGGCTTTAGCTGGCAGTGGAAGCCTGACATTAAAACTGGAATATATCATTGTCAATATTGTCTGTAATATTCTGAAAAATGCAGAAAACGTGAGCATACACTCTTATGGGGGCATCACTGGACTATCCCTCATCACACCTCCAGCTAATTTGGTATCCAGCTACCTCCAGCCTTCTGACTCTGCCTCTGAGAAAAAAGAAAGGGTCAGCATCCGTCTTACCCTGCGACCGGCCTCGTTGTTCTGCAAGTTCATCAGCATGCGGGCCTGCTCCTCTGAACCTCTCACGTAGTTCTTCTCCCTCTCCTTGGCATCCACGAATTCCTTGGCGAAACGATATCCGTACTCCACGTTATCGCCGCAGCCGCCCCACAGCCAGTCTCGGGGCAAGTCCTTGGGCCGGGCCGTGCGGCTGCAGCCACAGCTGGAGAGCTCTCCCTCACGGCAGGCCCGGCTGATGGCGTTCACCACCCCGGCGGCGCTGACAGCGTAGGTGAAGGCGGTCTCTCTGCTCCCTGCCAGAGATGTGAGACAGACAAATTAACCACAGGCAGACAGACCTCACTGAACATGCAGCACACAGTGAGGAGCAGGGCCTGGGCAGTGAGATATGGGGTGCTCCGAGAAGGTGCACAAAATTCACAAGAATACGATGCTCAAGAGCAAGGGCACCATCCTGCTCTGGAGGAGGGGGACTGCCCTAACACATGTCTGCATCCCAGTTTTGTTTTCATTTCACTTGTAACAGCTCCAGTCAATTGACTGTCCAGAGCTGGCAGTTTCTGCGTAACCAGGATCAAACCCAAATCTGATTATCTGACACACACCAGGGAAGGGTCTGAGATTCCTGGAGCAATGTTCTTTAGAAAATCATGTTCTTCATCGTTTGTAGGTGCTGCTCCTCCAGGGTTATTATTTTTATTACACCTATGTTTGAACATTTAAGAGCCCTGGGAACTGCAGGCCTTCGCCAAAAGAAATAGCAACACCATAGGCAAGAACTGCTCAGACTCTTTCCCCTTCATCTATCCTCTCATTTTAACTTGAAAGAAACTCTCAAACAGCAAGAGGGTTATTCACTTGCTGAAAATACAGCTGCTGCCTTAGCCACTGCATTTGCCAATAATCAGTGAGAACAAGTAACAAGGTTGGGCTTGTGCAAAAGAAACATTCTGGATAAGCCAGTTATCACCTGGAAAGGTTTTCATTTAACTGGGACAAGCAGTCTTCACGGGCTCCTCAGTTCATCGACCTTATTTTGGTTTACATAAGGTCAGCTGAAAATTGTTTGGAGACAAACTGAAGGAAACTCCTTTTTACACTACAGGCTCTCCCCGTGCCTACAGAACCGCAGTGCTGGAACAAGTAAAACTTTCCCATGTAGACAATAATAAATGAAAAGACTTTCCATTAGGAGGTTTACTAGAGAGTGCCCTGCTTGGCATGTATGCCCTACACAGCATCTGAGCCAAGCAGCTGGATCGGGTCTCCAGCTATGTATTCCTGGCAGTGATTCAGCCCCAATGTGACCGGGGCACCATCACAGCCAGAACACTGCATGAGGCCAAGCACCAGGAGCGCTGTGGGTCTGAAGAGGGGGAGTAGACAGGGAATGAGGAGGAGAAGGAGGCAATTCACACCTGCACTCTCACCACACGGTCTAACAAGCTAAACACCTTCAGAGTCATTGTGTTCATCACCAAACTTTCAGTGATAAAGAGAACAAATGCCAAAGCTTCATTTGAATAAGCAATCTAATTGTGAAGAGCTACTTACACCAAACCCCAGCAAGATCCTCTCAAGCAAATTTGAATGACTTCAGAGGGCAGATCTTCCAAGAATACTTAGTTTGTCACCAGCCCAGGAGGCTCTCAGTGCTAGCACCGTCAGCAGGGCTGAGCTGATGCTTTTGGTATGCTCTTGTTCCAATTTGCACCTGCGGACAATCTGTAACTAATAGCAGCTTATCACCAATTTAGCGGTAATGACCCAAGACAAAGGCAGGGCTGTGAATGGCATCCACCTTGCAGAACAACTTGTGATTCCCCCACCCCAAATGAGAGTCGAACACTACGGTTTCTGCTCTGGAGTGCAGCACAAGGCTGATAAAATACTACAGGACGCATAACAAAGAAGGGAGGGCCTTACTAGAAGGTCACAAGGAGAGAACTATGCTCCCTAAACCTTGCTGGTCTGAGAGGTAGAGAGGAGTGACTCCTAGTTAAGGTAATTCAGCTGAGACTGGCCCATAAGGGAGTTCGTTTTTCAGTAACCAAAAATCAAGCTTTTACTCATCTAGCTTGTTTTGCACGTTATGGTTTTTTGAATATAACAGTCCAATGTGCAGTTTTGCCCCTACCCCTCTGTGCCTGTTTGGAGAGAGCCCTGCGGACACATCCTGTTAAGTAGAGCCCTCTCTTGTCTATAGAGATTAAAACACAGGCAAAGAAAGGACCTCACACTGTTACAGCTCTTGCAACAGTCCTCACAACTCCAGGTGCTTAGCATCCTTACAGCTGGATTGAGATCTCTGAAAGCACAGACTGGATTTGCACTTTTACTGTCCATGTTTTAACCATCTCCACCTGTCAGTTGTAGCAGCACAACTCAATGTGCAGCCCCTGGATCTGCACCAGTTGTTTAAGGCTGCTGGAGGATGGTGGTGGGAGAGGCTGGAACAAGTCACAGCAGGATGGGTTTTTTCCCCGTGCTGCCCACAAAGCAGAACAAACCACAGTGCTCACTCGACTTTGGTAGTAGGTTTGGAAGATCATGGCTTGGCCTGGGAGGCAGGATCAGATGTGATAAAAGCCTGTGTTAATACAAACCAAATTTGTAGCTGACAATTGAGGGCTTATACACCCAAGTTTTCTCTGCTCTCCTGCCGTGCCTTCCAGCCTTTGAAAAGTATTTGGGTTTTTGCTGGTCCTCTCATTCCAGTTCATTCCAGTTCCACACCTCTGTGCTGTCGTCTCGCAGTACTGGGAGTGTTCCCAGATTTGTTCTGCCCTTTTCCACACCTCTGCTGAGCTCTCCTGAGCTCTGGATCAGAGTCACCCCGGGCTGCCGGGGCCGACGCCGGGGGCTGCGGGCCCCGGGAGGCTCTGCCCGCCGGCTTGGAGCTCCACGGAGCTCTGCTGCCCTCCTGTGCCCGCCCGCCGCTGGCAGCAGGACGGGGAACCTGGGGCTGCGGCGGCTCCTGGGGGGCACTGGCGGGATGCGGCGTGGGCAGCACCCAGGCAAGGGCTCGGTCCCCACGGCTCCCTTCCCTGGAGCTGCTCGAGAAGGAAATGGGAGAACGAACCCAGTGGGGAGACTGACACAAAGATGATAAAAATGTGTCAATTTAACTTTTTTGATGAAAAAGATTTAGCTTCAACTGATTTTTTAAAAAAGCGTTACCCTAAAGTTTGCCAATCTCGAAGAAAAACAAAGAAAAAATATTTCTCTTTGTTCTCTGGTTTTATGACTCTTTTTTTTTTTCTTCTTTTAGCATTTGAAAAGGCTGAAGAGATAAGATCTCTGGCTCCAGAAATGACTGGACTAACCTGGAAACCCCAGCCTTGCATTTAGGATTACTCAGAGGGAGATCTGTTCTCTCCTCCCCTGAGGAAATTCTAACATGACCTTTTGGGGTGCTCTTGTCCTCTCCCCCTCATAAATGTAGCAGTAAGGAATATCTGTATATAATGCATAATATATATATACACACACACACACGTGCAGTCTAAAATCTGTATTGACAGAACAAGAAGTAGCTTCAGAAGAATAATATTTGTACATCAGATATAATTATTGAATAAACCACATTTAAAAGGTAAGAGCAACTCTCATAACAACACAAGCAGTAGGAGGAAGTAATGCTGAAAAGCAGCCTACTTCAGTGCTGTGGATCCCTCTACAAAAGCTTGGTATCATTGGACTGCCTCACCTCTGTGGAACACAGAAAATGAAGGTGTAATGATTAAACACAGACCGACTGGGTCTCCTGTTTCTGAGCCAAGCCAAGTTCTGCAAGGGGGAAAGGAAACTAATCTTCCAGGTTTCTGAGTGAACACTCTCACAAGGATCTCCCAGGCTTTGGACTTGGCCAGGTCAGGTTCTCCTCCCCTCTCACAATCTAGAGCAGCTCAAGAAATCATGTAATATATGCCATGCCTGCATTGGTGGGTGGGCAGCCGAGGGCTGCTGGCACATTACACACCTTCTGGGTCCTTCTTATCGCCTTTCACCTCCCTCTCCACAACAATCTGGCATGCCTGTGCACTCTTGCAGATATTCTGGTCTCCAGACCTTTCTCGTGCCGTTGGCACAGAGTACAGAAAAAGGGCTGTGGTCCAGATTTGGAGCTCAGAAGTTGAAAGCAGGAGACAGACACACAGTATGAACCCAGGGAAGAATGACTTTATAGCTAACACAACGTGAGATTGAAAGGCTTTGTCTTCTTCCCCAGTGTGGAAAATAGATTTGCTGAAATGATAAGCAATGACTCATTTCAAAGTAGAAAAATGCAAAAGCAGGAGGTGGAACTGAGGCAGCACAGCAGCTTATCACTGACACAGGCAACAGCGATGAATCATGGATCCCCTAATACCCCAGGCCACCTTTGGTGACAGTTTTCTTATTGCTGTGCTGCCTTGTGCTGGAGTATAAACATCTGAACATACTCTAAGTGCCCAGAGAATCTAAAGGAGATGGGTTCAAAACTCTGTTAGGACAGGTTTTTAAACAGTGGGCAACTGCTGGCCCACAGACACTGCCATCAGTAGATTCCTAAGAGAGATACAACAGGACTCAACAAACAAATGCAGCACACATAAATCAAGCAGGACTTCTGGTCATACCTGTCACATACCCACAACACCTCCTGCCTTCATCAAAACCCAAATCTACCCTCCATCTAAACAAATAGGATCAAATTCATTTTAAAGAGGAGAAATCTTCCAACTTCCACTATCCCTTCTTCCTGTACACACTCTGATCTTTCCTGACAGCTTCTCATCCTTCAGATCTGATCTTTGCTTTCTCTTAGTTCACCCTTACTTTTCCAGGTGTGGACTCTCCCACTGGAGCAACCCAGGGTTGCAGGAAGATGCTGAAGAAGAGAATGAGGTTTGCTCCAGAAGGGGAGATTGCTACATTCTTGCATCCTTGTGGAGTCACTAGTATCTCTTTGGGGATCTGAAATTTACCCCGTTCTTCAGGGTAAGTTATGTGTGAGGGAGGGACACCAGAAAGGAGAGATGAAGGTCTATTTTCTGTCCTTTCCCTTTGGTGGCTGAAATTTCAGTTTTCATACCCCAAAGCACAAGTTTTAACAATCTGGGATTGCATGCAGCCCCATGTGGCCACCACCCTTGCTATCAGAAAGTGAGAGATCAAGGATGCACAGATGCCTTGGATGTGTGTCAGGAACTAGAAGTATGTGTCAGGAAACGGCATTTCCCAGGGGAGTACCCCAGAGAAGAATTGTTAGGGTATGGGCTAGGCAGAAAGGGAAGAATTAGAATGGCTCTGATGGGCTGAATTAGGAATTTTGAAAGATTTGAGTAACAAATGCAGAAATATCCCTAGAGTTCTCTAAGATTTCAGGATCAGATGGAAGGGATCACAGGACTTGGTGCCCTATCGCCTTGACGCCCCAGAGGTATTAAAGATGCACCTCTTGGTGCCTTGCTGCCTATGCAGTTTTTTTCAGAGATAAGCCAAAAAAGTGAGAGCAATGCTGGGGGCAGCTAGGGGTTCAGGAGCTGAAGGTCTTTTTCCATCCCTTGCTAAGTGTTTTCCTTGACCTCACAACCGAGAAACACTGGAGAAACACTGCTGGTTCTTCGGTGTAAATGATTGGCTTTGTGGGTGGGAAAGAAAACCTCTTCAGACAGGGGTTGTGGGGAGTGAGTGTGTGTGTGTGTGTGTGTGTGTGTCTGTTTTAACACCTTTTCCTTATTGTCCTGGCTGTCGGACACATCAAAACGAGCCCGGATTTCTCAGTTTCTTGCCATCAGATGATTGCATTTCAAAAGGAGCTGGGACAATGTAGCTAGGTCACACCTCAATTCAAGTGCAGCAATGGCCTGTCAATGTGCCTCTTAGGGCCAGCAGGGCAGGAATTATAAAAATCGCTTAGGTTTACACAGAAAGTGGCAGTACAAGGAAGGGGGGGAACTCCCACGCCAGGGGAGCCCTATTTCCCACTTCTCAGGGCTGCATTCCCTGTCCCAGGATACTCAAGATGCTGGTAATGATAACACGGGGCCATTGTTCCTGGCTCCAGCTTCTTCTCTCGCTACCTTTAAACAACCACTCAAAACAGAAGACGCCCTGCTCTTCCTGACCGTCCCGTGCTTCCCCCAAAAGAAAGTGTGTCCCCCTTGTCCCCCCGCTGGCTCCTGGTGTGGCTCAGGTGCACTGGTGCCACTCGCCCAGGCAGCATGTGGGCAGCACCAGCACACCAGGGAATGGAAAAGCTCGTTAAAGGCAGCTTTAGGAGCTGGTACTAATGGGGCTCATCACTCCTGCATGTGTATTTGAAGGAAGGGAGAGAGGTGCAGAGGGACACCCGGCCTGCACCCAGCACCTCCCTGCACTAACTACTAGGTGTACTAGTGTTCTACCAGGTGTTCCTACCTATTTTCATGACCCTCCCAAAGACGGAGGTGTTGTCCACCGTGCTGCAGTTCCACCGCCGCTGCCGAAACTGGTACTGGCACTCCTTGATGGCGCTGCGGGCCCCTTCCCCGATGAACACCATGTGCTCCTGGTAGAGCTGGCAGAGCTTGCGCTGCCCAGGGGAGAGCCCCGGCAGCTGGCTGCACACCGGCTGAGCGCCGATGATGTACATCTCAGGTCTCTGGATGGGGTTCATGGCCAAAGACCTACGATGAGAAAAACATCCCAGGGAGTCTGGAGGGAGAGGCCCCCTCCGCGAAGCGCCCGGCACCTCTCCCCGCCAGCCCAGCCCAGCCCAGCCCGGAGCCCGGGCGCATTTCTCATGTCAGCTGCCTCCCTCCACGGCTCTGCCAGATGCGAGGCTTTTCCAGGGCTCTAGCGGGAGAAACACAGCTCGTTTGTAACCCGAGTTTAAACACAGAGGACACCCGGGATGGGGAGGGGGCAGAGAGAAAGCTCAGCACTTTCTCTGCAGAAGAAAGCGAGTAGCTTTTTTACAGAGCGCCAGCGAGCGATGCCTGCCTTCCAGCCAGGCTATTTTCCGCTCTTCAGGAGAAGGGGGCTCCGCGGCTGCTCCCAGGGCTTTTGGCAGCGGGTAGGAAACCTTACCCATCCACTCCCTACGCATTCCCCACATCCTAAAGCCCGGACGGCATTTGAGCGAGCCCGTACAAAAGGAGCCCAGAAATGCCTGGAAGGAGAG